GGCTCTGGGCTCTGCTACGGGGAAGGCAACCCCCTGGGCGCCCAGTCCCGGGCAGGAGCTCAGCGACCTCCCCTCCCCTCCTCACGGCAGGTGCTGTCCCGGGAGGACTCGGGGGAGCTGTCGGAGGAACACCGGCGCCTGATGGCCTGGAACGAGGCGGAGAACGCCCGGCAGCGGGCACGCAGGTCAGCCCGGCCCCGCGCGAAGCCGGGGGGGGCCGCTTCCCTTTGCGGCTTTGACTTTTGCTCGTGCAGAACTAAATTTGGCGCCTGGGTCGGTTAGAGTCAGGCTAAATTTTTGCAGAGACGCTTGACCTAAATTTTGACCTTTTTAAAAATAAATCTGCCCGCGCGGCGGTCACGTTTCCAGCGCCGTCTCGCTGCTGAGGGGTAAGTTACGGAGCTCTGGACGACCTCCCGCTCTCCTGCGGAGGCGGCTGTCATCGGGAGGATGAGTTGCTCTGCTAGATCTCTCCGCGTTCCCTCTCGCGCTGCTCCCAGGGAGCTGTTCTCTGGTCAGGCCCCGGGAAGCGTGTCGCTGCTTCCGAGAAAATCAGCATCTGCTGAATCTCGGAAAGCGGGAGAAGGTTAAAAGGGACAAGCCCGTCTGTCCCGTCCCCCGCTGGCTGTCCCTCGGCCCCTCGCGAAGCGCTCGAGCTTCCGCATCCGGGTCCTGCCGGAAGAATGACGTGCTCCGACTTGGAGCTCCCAAACGGAGCCAGACCCCGCTGGGTCTCGGCTCCACGCCACGCCTGTGGGTGCCCGTCTGTTTGAAAGCTTTTGCGTTAAGGTTTTGCGTGAATTTATCTCTGGCGGGAGGAGGGAAATTCTCTTCGTCCCCACACCGGGGACGCAGGGGCTCTCTTCCCCGGCGCGGCCGCTCTGCTCCTTCCCGTTCGTTCTGGCTGCGCTCAAAGTTGCGGGCTTTGCATCCCGGGGGATTAGTGCGCCTCACCGAAGTGCCGCCCTGCAGCGCCTGAGCACCCAGCAAAGCCTTGCTGTTTCGTTTTTTTGTTTGTTTGTTTGGTTTTTTTCCCTTTCCGTGTGGCAGAGAGGAAAGAATTAGGAAGGAAGAGGAAGAACAGAAGAGGCAGAAGCTCCGGGCTGCGGAGAACAGGGCCAGGATAATGGAGGCTTTCCTGAAGGAGAAGGAGAGGGAGGTTCTGCAGCTGCAGGTAAGAGCAGCTGGTGCCTGCTGGGGAGAACGCTGCCGGCAGTCCCCCTGAGGGATTTGATGGCAGCCCGTGGGAGCGATGGGGAAGGCGTAGGCTTATTTTCCAGCGATTTTTCTGTTGGTAGCTGGGAACACAAGTGTCGGCGCCTTCCAGGCGTGTTGACAGCGCGTGGAAGGGATAGAGGTTGAGTGAGAGCTCTGAAAACAGAGGGTGGAATAATCCTGAGTGGGAGGATAAAGGTTTCCTCGTTCTGGGCTCGGCTCCTGCCAAGATCCCGGTGATGCCGGTGGCACCTCGGGGTCTCGGGAGATCCGCGAGCTCTGCAGGCACCAGCAGCTCGTGCGCTGCCCGTAGTGAGCCGTCGGCTGACGTGCGTTAAGAGCCGGTCCCTGTCCTTCGTTCAGGAGGAAGCCAAAACGTTCATCACCCCCGAGAACCTGGACGCGCGGATTGAGGAGTGCCTGGACAACCCTCGCAACTACAACTTCGCCATCGACAAGGACGGGCGGATCGTCAAACGGACGGTGTTGTCTTAGCGGCCCCTGCCTGGGACGGGGGGCGCGGGCCTGGTTTCCGTCCGGAGGCTCCGCTTACGAGCCGGTTTCTTCATTTTCATGTAGAAAACAACGGCAGAATTGTTAGAGAAAGCCTGCGGGTCTGGCTGTGGTTCTTCTGAAGGGTGCAGGAAGGAGGGCGAGGGAGAAATTCGGGCTTGCAACAAGCAGCAGAGGCACCAGCGGTCTGTCTCAGCCCTGCGAGGGGGCGGAGAAGCTGCCTGCGAAGCTGCTGGCGTTCGTGGGCCTGTCGCTCTGACTCGCCGCGATTCCACCTCCCGCGTGCACGTATGCTGTTGGAAATTAAGGCCAGAGATTGACAGTGGCTGGGGGGGGGGGGGGGGGGGGGGGAGGTAGAGCAGGAACGGTCCCGAGGCAGATCCTGGCTCTGAGCTCCCCGGCGTAGCCGCGGCACCGGTTGCGTGTCCACCCCCTCTAGATGCTTTTGAAAGAAAACGAGGTCTGAAGGGCTCCGTAGGAAACACTGACCCCCGGCTTGTTGACGCTGGGGGAAAGAATTAACTGTTTCTCTGTCTTCTGCTGTGGTGGAAGGACCTGTCGTTCCTGCTCATCCTTTAAACCCTCCTTTGCGCATCTGTTGGTGCGGCTAAATGAGAAAACGGTGCAGAGGACGTCTGAGCGGTACTGGCTTTTGTGTGTCCCCTTTTCTCTCCCCCCCCCGCC